TTGTAATTTGTTGAAGCCATTTCAAGACTCTAACCTAAGACCAATTGAAAAGGAGCCTCCTCCTCCAGTTATGGTGGGGGGGGGGAAAGAACACTACAAGATTAAGAGAATTCTGGATTCATGATTTTTTAAAGGGAAACTGCAGTATTTAGTACAGTGGAAAGGATACCCCTTAGCACCGGGGTGTTAAACTCAATTTCATTGAGGGCAACATCAGCATTGCGGTTGCCCTCGGGGGGGTGGCCAGGGTGGGTGTGGCCTACTGGGTGGGTGTGGATGGAGTGGGTGTGGCCTATTGGGTGGGCACGGCCAGCTCTATATCGTTCGATTCAAGGGTGCCTGTGGGGGCCTGGGCAGGAGTGGGACAGATCTGAGGATCTCTGGCAGAAGGGGGTGGGACCGGGGCAAGTGCCAAGGCATGGTCCACTGGAGGAGCCTCACTGCCTGCTGAAACCCCTCCCCCGGACCCCATCAAGCCAGATAGATGAAGTAAGTGAGGGCCATTTGCTGGCCACTTCCAGGCGATGGTGCATTTCTTCATTCCTCACAAAGGGTGACACCTCCCCAGCATGCAGCCAGGGGGTGGGGCCAATGCAGCAGGGGCTGGTTCCTCGCTGTTTCCAGATGGCCTTGTGGAGCTAAGACTGAATACGTTTCAGCATAGATGGCCACCACAAAATTGTACATTGGCTCCCTCCCAGCCGGCCTGGGCCAGGGCCAAGGCAGCAGGGGCCGTTCCCTCACTGTTTCCAGGATGGCTTCGCGGGCCACATGAAACCACTTCGCGGGCCGCATCCGGCCCCAGGCCTTGTGTCTGACATGTATGCCTTAGCAGATGTGGAATGGGTGGCCACTCAAAATGTTAGTGCATACAGATTAATTAAACAAATCATGATAAATACCCTCAGTGCCCAAAACCATAACTGAGCATTAATGATTAATAGTGATAATTTGTGTTTAATGTTTTCCAGGTCTGCCCTTTTTTGGGGGGGTCAACATGTCAAGATTGAATTGCTACAATGCCTGTTAGCTTCATCATCTTGCCAAAGAAAAGGGGGGAGGAAATGGAATGGAACACCAAGAAGCCATTCACAGACCATGAGAGCATGCACCAAGCCAAGGTCACTGCCGCAGGTGCTCGATGGAGAAGTGAACTGTTCTTATAACAAAAAGAAATATTATTATTGGTCAAGGTGAACACCCGGTGGGTGGGGAAGTGGGAATCTAATGTTTAACTAAGCAAACTTTCACGTGGGAAATCTCACAGTTGGTTTTGCTTCTTTAGTTCTCAGATGCTGTACTCAATAAAGTTATGCCTGCTGGTACTTATTGCCTTGAGGATTCCATTTGTTGGGTTTGCTAGTGGGATTCACAGGAGCTTGTAAAATTGTTCAGGGCGATGCTCGAGAAGCTCAGAATGATGCTCAAGAAGCTCAGAAAGACTCAGCTGTATGCAAAACTATCCAAGTATGACTTCCATAGAACCAGATTGGATTAACTGGTACCGGATTTCACAGGACAGTGTGAAAATGGACCTTGAGGAAGGGCAGGCAATCTAAGAGTGGGAGGCTCTTGGATGAGGAAACAATTGTAGAGTTTCCTCAGCTTCACTAACTTTTATCGGCAGTTCATCCCTATTTTGCCCAGATTGCCTTGCCCATCACGAACTTACTAAAGGCAAAACAGGTAACCAAGGCCAGACCCAATCAACCCTTAAAGTGGTAACTGGAGTGCCAAGTGTTGTTCAAGAAGTTAAAATGTCTCTTTGCCGCTGAGCCGGTTTTAAAGCACCCCAACCCTGGCAAGCCATTCATAATTCAAGCATATGCCAGCGACATGGCTGTGAGAACAGTGCTTCTCCAGAGGAACACAAAGGGGGAAGTACAACCTTGCGCCTACACTTCTCACAAACTTTCTTGAGACAGATAGGCAATGGGCTGTCTGGGAGAAGGAAGCCTACGTGGTTCACTGGACCCTCATCACATGGAAGCAGTTGCTGGAAGGCAGCAGAATTCCTTTCGAGGTGTGGACTGACCATAAGAATATGGAAGCGCTAAACCCCCCCCCCCCAAGCAAGTTTGATGAGCTCAGTACTTCAATCAGTTTGACTTCACACTTCGCTATCTACCCCGGGGGAAAGAACTTCTTTGCAGACACCCTCTCCAGGATGCCACAGTACAACAGTGCCAAAGAAGTTGTCAACTCCATCATCCCCTCTAAGCAAGTAACCGCACCAGCCCTCACAAGACAGCAGTGAGCCTCACCAACACCAGTAGCTGAAGATTTAGTGCAAACTCTAAGAAGGGCTTTAGCGGAAAATGAGTGGCTCTAGCAACATAAGGACAAGCCCTTGATGAGACATGGGTTGGCATGGATGGAGGCCAAATTGTATATTCCGGCAAGCTAGTACACCCTGGTGTTAGAGCTTAGCCATGATATGAGAGCGGCATGACACTTTAGGTTTGTGAAAACTCTCCACCTAGTAAAACAATTGTTTTGGTGGCCACGCATGAAGGACATAGAGATCTATGCAGCTGGCTGTCTTGTGTGTGCGCAAGACCACCAAGGCTGCTGCAAATCACGGCCAGCCCCTCAGCCCCTTGGAAGGAAATATCAATGGACTTCATTGTGGAGTTACCAGAAAGTGCTGGGAATACCTTGATTTGGGCTGTTACGGATCTTTTCTCCAAACGAGCCCACTTTGTGGCCCCAAGATCCCCTCTACCTAGTCACTGGCTAAGCTGTTTGTGCAACGTATGTATTGGTTGCATGGTGCTCCCAAGCATATAATAAATGATCAGGGGGCACAATTCACTTCAAAGTTTTGGCATGAATTCCTGAATCTGATATGGTCCTCCCAGAATCTTAACTCTGTCCATCAACTGCAAACGAATGGAGCTTGTGAACGTATGAATGCCATTCTAGAGAAGTACCTCTGCTGCTATGTGAACTACCAGCAAGACAACTGGGCCGAGCTCCTGCCTTTTGCTGAAGTAGCATACAATAACTCTGTACACAGTAGCATCGAGTTTACTCCTTTCCAAGTAGCTACTGGTGCAGATTTCATGCCCATGCCAGACCTCCCCCAGCAGACCCCTTCAAACGCACTGCTGGCTGAATGGATTAATACTCTACAAGTAGATACCTGCCTTGTGGTTCGTAAGGCACTAAAAGCTGCAACAGAAGCACAGAAGAGACAAGTTGATAGGAAGAAGATAGGAAGCTCAAAAGGAGTTTAAAATAGGAGATAAAGTATATCTGTCTACCAAGTTCCTGCAGCTAGGCCAGGGCAACTCTGCAAGAAGCTAGGCCCCAAGTATATAGGACACTTCCCCATAATCCAGATCATAAATCTGGTGACTGCAGAATTGAAGCTGCCAAAGAGCCTTAAGACAGTGTTTCATTGAAACCCTTCCGTAGCTCTCCTCTGTGACTAGATACTGAACCGCCCTCTTTCCTCCTATGGGTAGAAGGGGAAAAGCATTTTGAAGTTAAGGAGATCCTGGACTCCTGAATCCACAAGGGGAAATTGCAATAATTAGTCCTGTGGAACGGGTTCCCTCTAGCGGAGGCAGAATAGGTCCGTGCCCCTAAACTCGCACAGCAAGTAGTTAAGCCTGGGTGATTCTAGGTATGCTGAGCAAAAGGTACCACTAATAATATGTGTGTGTTTGTTCTGTTTAAAGGATAGTCTTCCTTTTGGAATGGCAGCATATCACGGCTTGATTCGCAAACCATACTCACAGCCAGACAAGAAGCAATGGGGGGGGGGAGGGAGTGGGTTGGAATACAAGGGAGGGGGTAATGGAATGCAAGAGCACCGACTACAAAGCGAGTCATACCAGTGTTCCAAGGTCACCAGCTGGGAAAGTTCACTAGAGTCTGTTCCCCAAATAAACTGAACATAATTGATTGGATGGAATAAAGTGACAATGGGAGGGACAGGGAAAAGGGGAATGTTTAACTATGCTGTTTGCATGCGAAAGCATTAGAATTGGCTTCACTACTTTCGTATCCATATCTGCTCAGTAAATTATATTCTGGGAAACAAAAAATGGCTCAGTAGTCTTTATTTGCTGCATGCACTAAGTGGGATGGTTGACACATCCTATCAAACCAACAAGTCTCTACCAAGTCAAGTTTGAGTCCCAGTGATTTTATGGACATGTACACATAATTTTTTTGATGATAAAATGGAAGAGGTCTATATCCTTCCAGGATGTTTTTACAGCTTTCCAGCCTAGTCTACATTGCTGGTATTTCTTCAACATTTCCCATCCACAAACTAACCAGATGTAAACCTGTTCAATTTTTTTTTTAGATCTATTAGGCTTGGTTAGGGACTACCTGGGCAGTTATTTGAAGACAGGTGTTTTAAAAATGCAAATGGGGAATGAGAGTAACAAGGACAATGGTAGGTGAGCATCCATCCAGCAACCCAGCTCTTGCAAATTTACTGGGATATTCATGGATATTAAATAGTATGGCATTCTAAATTATAAACAGCAGATGTTTTACTCTAATCAGTGTAGTAAGAAAACTGTCTTTGTTTTCTAGTGAAGATGCTGGAACATTTTTTTGAGCTATTTCCTCTTAGTTTCAGCAGCCTTTAACAGTTAAATATTTTGCTGGGTTTTTGGGAAGGTTACTTTTGCAAAGGCATTTCTACTTCATACAATCAGTTGCTATATTCTCCAAAAATGATCAATCAGCCAGCTGTACAAAAAGCCAAATTCAGATTTATAGTAAGCAAGTACTTAGGCAGGCAAGGACTTATCATGTCATGCAAAGAACAAAGAAAAAAACCTGAATTTTGAGCAGTTCTGCCATTAAATTTCACCATTGCCATGAACTCCCTAGGTGACTTTAAGCTAATTACTATTCTACCACAGCCCTAGTTCCACACAATCAAGACTCTTAAACTTGGAAAGTCAGAATCAGATTTACATTAGAGCAGTCTCTTACTCTGTCTAGGCAAATAGGAAAGAACAACTACTCACCTCCATGAGCTGGTCATGCAGGCGGGAATCAAAGTCTCCTTCCAGGTCACTTTCTTGGAAACTGTTATTTGCTTTACCAGTAATCATATGTAGCTTCTCTAACCGTTCCAGGATCTCCTGACGCTTCAGGTTCTTCAGGTGCTTCAGCTCCTGCTGCTTCTGTTCCCTCTCCTTTTAAACAAATTAGTAAGTCCATGAACTAGGAAAGAGTGCTGGTTAAGAGATAAACCATTGACAAATGAGGCACATTGGGTCAAGGTTTAGGCCAGATTCTAAGCCACTCACTTTTCTCTTGCGCTCCTGTATTTCTTGGCGCTTCTCTTTGCGGCGCTCATCCTTTCGACGCACAGATGTTGCAATAAAACGGGGATATGTTTTTACCTATTGGGGGGGAATGGGAGTGAAAAGAGAAAGGGGCATTACTTGAACGCAATATTTTTTGAACTGAGCATCTGGCTTTCCCATTCAGATTTCTAGTCACTTCTACCACACTTACATGTTGTGCTTCAGGTTCCTCAAAACGAAAGTTGTATTTGCGCTCAAAATCCGCTTGCTTCTTTAAGAAGAATTCACCTTCATCTGATGAGTCTGAAACAGCCAGCTGGATCCCAGGTGGCCTTTGGGGAGGCAGCACATCACAGTATTACATAAATCAGTTATTAAAGCACGGTCCTATGATCCCTAGGGGTACCAAGACCCTCTTAAGGGTCCATGAAATTAAAATGCCAGATAATAAAGATATTTGCAAAAATTTAAAACAATGTAACTTAATTTGTTAAAAATATTAGGAATTTTCATGAAAAATATGTTAATATCTAATGAACTTAATATTGTTATTTTTACCTGATTCAATAAATATCTTACAAATGCATCAATTTTAATGTTTAATGTTTAAATGTTGCTAAATATAACCCATACAAATAAAATCTCTTTCAGGGTCCCCCATGATTTTTAAAAGTGGGAAGGGGTCCTGGGAGCAAAAAGTTTAAGAAAGGCTGACTTGAGCAAACACAACTGAAATATTTTCTACAATTCAATATTCCTCTTTCTGCCCCAGCACATTGCATAATACTTCAGGAATTCTCAATAGCAGCATTATTTCAAAAATAGGTTCTATCTCCATTGGAGTTATATCTAAATTGTAGCTTAATTATTTATAAAGCATTACTATACTTCAGTATATACAGAACAATTTACAATAGTTAGCAAATGAATTAAGTTTAAATCAAGGGAACTATTCTACAAAGTATGTCACCTAAATGGAATACACCAATCTTATGGTGTCAATGCTGGTTTACTCTCAAAGTTTGGACCCTATCCAAATTTAGGCAGTTTCAGGGACCATACTTCAGTTAAACAGCCTGGTTGTAAATATGCCCCTAGCAATAACCCTATGACAATTTCTCATAATTCCTGCCTTGAAATCAAACATTCTTTCAAGCAGTCAATAGGGACAAAGTTGAATTTCTAGGAGGACTGCAGAGATTGCTATAATACTGATGGACAAGTTACTATGTTATCAGTCTAGTTAACAGTTGAAAAACAGAGGGGGAAGTAGAGGAGAGACAAAAACAGGGTAGTGTATGTAATTCTATGTAATGCCTAGTAGCTAAAGCTATACTTAGATTGTATGCAAACATGCTGAGCAAATAAGGGAGCAATTAGGCTACCCTAATACCAGGAACAAGAAGTTTATATAAGAACAGAGGTAGTCTTGCAACTGGTTTCTCAGTGGTCAACCACTGAGGTACTCAAAAACTGAAAATGGAGGACTTCCGGTTCCACCTTACAGCGACGCAGCTGAGGGACTGTGGGCCTCCACACCCCACGGCTGGTTTCGCCCTGCCAGAGGACCCTAAATGGGTCTGATGTCGCCCTAGAGAGGTGACAAAGAAAGAGGGACACCCTGATGATCACGGAACAATGGCGGTGGATCCATTCGATCTGGGGGAAGCCCTCTAACCTGACAGGAAAAAGGCTAGCTGCACACCAGCATCTAGCCCAAACTGCTAGCAGCTGAAATCCAAGAGCACAAACCAGAACAACAGTGAACAGCGTGCTTGGAACTGGTTGACAGTATTGATCTTCTCTCTTCTATTTTGTAACTGATTCCTTGGAAAAGATCCTCAAAGCAAGAAATTCTCCGAAAGTGAAAGGAGGGGATTACATCCCTACCCCACCCCAATAGACGGAAGCAGTGAATTAATTTCCAAAGGGGAAAAGAAATATACTGAAATAAAATTAATATTACTATAGTCTGGATAAATCTGAAAATTAAGAAAACTGTTAAGATTTTATATCCTAAAGAGCCCTGATGAAGTTTAAAAAAAGAAAGAAAAATAATTCTTTGTTTGAAAAAGTTGGGAAATAAATAACTACTGACATCTAGAGGAGAACTAGAGCATAGAACAGTGGTGGCGAACCTATGGCACACGTGCCAGAGGCGGCACTCAGAGCCCTTTCTGTGGGCATGCGTGCCATGCTCCGGAGATGGCGAGGGACTGGCCCCCGCCACCCTGGCCCTGCCCACCCAGTCTGCCATGACCACTGTGGCCACGCTCACCCGGCACCCATTGATAAATAAGTGGGTTTTGGGTTGCAGTCTGGGCACTGGGTCTCTAAAAGGTTCGCCATCACTGGCATAGAACAATAATATAACACTGACTCAGAAATTGGCAAGACACCCAGAAATAAAGAACAATCTGTTCCCTTGAACTTTGATAACCCTCAGCTAAATAGAAAACTGTTGGGAACAAACAACGAATCAGCGAACACCTACAGGCAAACAAAGTCATTACTAAAAGCCAACACGGGTTTGTCAAAAACAGATCATGCCAGACAAATCTTATTGCATTTTTTGACCAAGTGACAAAATTAGTGGAGCAGAGGAATGCTGTGGATATAATTTACTTGGACTTCAGTAAGGCATTTGACAAAGTAGATCACAACCTACTACTTGATAAGATAGAAAAATGTGGGTTAGACAACATCACCACCAGATGGATCCGTAGCTGGCTGACCGGCCGTACTCAGCGTGTGGTCCTCAATGGAACCACATCTACATGGAGGGAAGTGTGTAGTGGGGTGCCCCAGGGCTCTGTTCTGGGCCAAGTGCTATTCAATATCTTCATCAACGATTTGGACGAGAGGATAGATGGGGAGCTCATCAAATTTGCAGACGACACCAAGCTGGCAGGAATAGCCAACACTCCAGAAGACAGGCTTAGGATACAGGGGGATCTGGACAGACTAGAACACTGGGCGCTATCTAACAAAATGAAATTCAATGGTGAAAAAAGTAAGGTTCTACATTTAGGCAAGAAAAACCAAATGTACAGGTATAGTATAGGGGGTACCTTGCTCAATAGTAGTAACTGTGAGAGGGATCTCGGCATCCTAGTGGACAATCATTTAAATATGAGCCAGCAGTGTGCTGCAGCTGCCAAAAAAGCCAACACAGTGCTAGGCTGCTTTAACAGAGGGATAGAATCAAGATCACGTGAAGTATTAATACCACTTTACAATGCCTTGGTAAGGCCACACTTGGAATACTGCATCCAGTTTTAGTCACCATGATGTAAAAAAGATGTTGAGACTCTAGAAAGAGTACAGAGAAGAGCAACAAAAATGATTAGGGGACTAGAGGCTAAAACATATAAGGAACGGTTGCTGGACTTGGGTATGTCTAGTTTAATGAAGAGAAGGACGAGGGGGGACATGATAGCAGTGTTCCAATATCTCAGGGGCTGCCACAAAGAAGAGGGAGTCAAGCTATTTTCCAAAGCGCCTGAAGGCAGGACAAGAAACAGTGGATGGAAACTAACCAAAGAGAGAAGCAACCTAGAACTAAGGAGAAACTTCTTGACAGTTAGAACAATTAACCAGTGCAAAAACCTGCCTCCAGAAGCGGTGAATGCTCCAACACTGGAAGTTTTTAAGAAGAAACTGGACAGCCTGAGCAGGGGGTTGGACTTGATGACCTCCAAGGTCCCTTCCAACTTTATTATTATTATTATTATTATTAAAGAAAGAAAACATACTGGGCCACCCATAAGCTTAAGAAATGTCTGCAAAAAAAAACCCCCTTTAACTGTTGTCTAAGCTCAAGAATTGTTTGCAGACAAAGAAAAACTTTGACTCTTGGCTAATCTTACTGGAAGGAAATTTACTGGAAGGCTTTACGGTGGCAAAACATTTTGCTGCAATTCTGACTGGTTGATAATTCAAAGACCCCTAAATAGAAGAATTGTTATAAAACACTACTTTCACTGATGCCTTGATAATTGTAAACACATTGGATTATAAAAATCATCTATAAAGATAAGAACTATATAAGATATGGTTGTTTGGATTTTAAGATTGGCTGGTTTGATAAGGCTAAACACAGAGACTATGATACTGGTGAAAGACTACCTGGAGGGAGAAGACAAAATGAATATTGCATACCTATCTAAAAGTGATAGGAAACTACACCTAATATTCCCTTCTGAAGGACCTAGCCTGGAACATCAGAGATCTGCAGGAGCAATACTCCAAGATGAGTCAAATACTTTCCAAGAGGAAATGTATGCAATGCTACAACAGATTCCAATGACAGTGGTTTCAAATCACAATGAGATTAAAAACTACTTTGACGACATAAATGAGCATATTTTCAATTTAAAATCACAAATAAAAAACTCTCAGAAAACAACAATAATGAACAAACAAACCAGATAACAGAACACAAACTAGAAGAAAGCAACTTAAATAGGGAAGCTACAAATCAAGAGAACTACAAAAAAAAATCTACAAAATTTTGGCACAACAATGAAAATGGAAAAGATATTTTATCTGTCAGGACTTCAAAACAAACTTGAGGATAAGAAAAAAGTTTTAATAAAATGGATTATAGAGCTGCCAGGAGAATCATTAGAGTCTGGGAGACAAAAGGCGTACATCATATACAACCTGTCTTTCTCACTCCCAACAATATTTACAAAAATACAGGAATCCCCTGACAAGTGGAATATACTGACTTGGAAAGCTACTTGGCAAAAGAAGACTAGAGTTAGATTCAAGAATCTGCCTCGACTTACCAGATGGAGTACTACATGATTAAACACTTGTTTGAATATGGTTAAAAGAATAGACAATTTTGGATATAGCTATAGTAAGAGGGATAAGAGACATAAATAGTATAGTATTTTTTATAATATATGAAATGTAAAAATATTGGGATGATGTATGTGAATGAAAAGTTAGGGCATTTAAAAGTAATTAATTTTGAGAGAAATATGACCGCGAAGAATGATTTGAATACTGAGAGAAAACTATGCTTAAATAAGAATTTTGAAAACAGGACATATAGTGACTTAACAAGATGACTTTTACAAATATAATTGAAACATAAGTCGACCAGAAAAGATGTTATATGTGGATGTTATAAGATATATGTATAGTATCTTTATAATATATGAAATATGAAAATATTGGAATGATATAAGTAAATGAAAAGTTTGGATATTTAAAGGTAATCAATTTTGAGAAAATTATGACTGATAAGAATGGTCTGAATATTGAGGGGAAATTAAGTATAAATAAGAATTCTGTAAACAGGATGTATAGTGATTTAATAAGATGACTTTTACAAATACAATTGAAATATAAGTCAAGCAGAAAAGATGTTTATATATGGATGTCATTGTTACTTGTACAAATACAAAAAAAAGTCTATATCCAACTTTGCATGCACTGAAAATATTAAGAATTATATCTGCCTAATGCTGATAAAGGAGAATATTATTGGAAGAAGGAAGATCAAAGAAACAAACTATTAATATATTGATTATGGAATTACAGAAATTATTATTGTTTTTAAATATATGAACCCAGACAACACGCTGTTTACTAAACACTAAAGATTGTCATAAAAAAAATCAATAAAATATAGTTGTTTTAAAAAACTGAAAATGGAGAGATAACTGTCCCTTGTAAATGATAGTTGGATACATGCTTCCCCCATGTCTTAGGTAACATTCAGCGTTAACAGGTCTAGTCTCCTTGAATTTATTCAATCCTCCTTTAAAGCTATTCAGGTCAGTGGTTATGTGCCAAGCAAAGAAACTTCTTTGATTTAAAAAAAAATGCAACATGCTGCACTGAATGACCCCTAGTTCTAAAGTCTGAAGAGAAGAACCTTCTCTCTGGCCATCTTCCTCATGATTTTATCAGTTGCTTTTTCGTAAATGAAACAGATCCATTCAGAGAGGTGTTCAAATCATTCTAGCAGTTTTTTCTGCACTTTTCCAATTCTATCACTTCTTGTTTCAAATGTGCCTACCACATCTACTTCAGTACACCTAATTCCAAATTTTAATGTCCTACAAAGATATCAAAGGGCATTACAGTATGGTCAAGTTTATTTTCAATCTCTTTCCAAATGATCCCTAACACAGAATTGCCTTTTTCATAGCTGTTGCACACTGAGTTACATCCTTAATGAGCTACTAGTGATAACCTATATAACTATGTAATACATTATTAGTAGATTGTGAGAAACCAATACATTCCTTTCCTATTAGCTCACTCTTTGCTCCAATTTTGAAGAGGAAGAAAAAAAGTCAAAAGCTTAAAAAGTACTGACCCTTTCTGTTGATCCTCCTGTTCCTGCTCCTCCTCACTGCCTCCTTCCTTATAACATTGGTTTAAGATATAATCTCTCAGAAACTGCTCCCCTTCATCCAGTTTTGGATCATTCCAGTATATTTTCAGTGGTATCTATGGAGATAGAGATACACAGATGAAATCCAAAACATATTACTAAGAATGAAAATGTGAGCAAGAATCATCATTAAATTCACTCCAAATATGATTGCCATCCCACTTCTCTTTGCTCAAGGATGATATAGAGAAATCTCTTATGTTCATTTTATCCTAAAGGTGTTGGAAGGAGGTGGACAAACTATGATGAGACACAGAGAAAACTAACAATAGATCTTTCAATAAAACGAGGTCCACTGAATTCACACAAATTATGCTCGAAGGAACAAATTACCACGTGAGATAACATGTAAGATTCGCCAGAAAAAAAATTAGAGACCATATGATTACAAGGGAAGATACAATAATTTATAAAGGTATAGAAATTCAAACACTCAAACAAATTCCAAGAAAAGTGAGGGAACAGAGAAGAGACTATAGATTTCTTAGCGCACATCTTATTAAAAAAAACATTCCATTCAGATGGTTAATCCCGGAGGGGATGCTGATAACATGGCAGGAGAGAAGGATTAAAATTGACTGCTTGGATAAGGCAATAGAATTTTATGAACAATTAGAAGGGGAAGAAGAGAATAGTAGGAGAGAAGAACTAGAATTAGAATCCAAAAGTCAAGAAGATGAGCAACTAGAGTTAAAAGAGAGAGAGAAGGTAAGGAGGCAAGAAGACAAAGGAAAGAAAGAGGAAAGAGGAACAGGTTCGAGAACAAGACAAACCCAGAAGTAAAATAATGGATGAGAAGATTAGATTAGTATCAATTAACGTTAATGGCCTAAATGCACCAGTTAAAAGAAAACAAATATTAACAAAATTAGTTAAACAAGGCGTAGACATAGTATGCTTACAAGAAGTGCATATAAAAAGATTACACAGAAAATATTTGGAATTTCCGAAACTAGGAGAACTATATACATCACTAATGGAACAAAAACAGAGAGGAATAGCAGTCTGTATCAGAAAAGGAATTAGAGCCTATTTAAAATATCAAGATACACAGAGGGAAGGGTATTAATACTAGAATTACAAATGGAACAGAAATCATGGTTACTGGTGACAATTTATGCTCCAAACGAAAACCAAAAAGAATTTTATAAAGTCCTATATGAAAAACTTATTGAAATTGGACAAAGAAATATTTGTATAATAGGAGATTATAATGCAATAGTGGACGTAAAAATGGATTATATTACCAATATGAAAAATAAAAAGAAACGAAAAACACTACCAAAAGTATTTTTTGAGATGGTGCAGGAATTCAATTTATTTGACCCATGGAGAAAACAGAACCCTATGAAAAAGGAATATACCTTTTTTTCAAATCCACACAAATCATGGTCAAGATTGGACATGGCATGGATGAATGGGGAAATGGGGCAAGAAGTAGAGACAACAGAAATAATTTATTTATTTATTTATTTATTAAATTTATATACCGCCCTATCTCCCTTGCGGGACTCAGGGCGGTGAACAGGCGATACTAAAAACCACGGTAATAAATAGTTTGTTTTAAAATCGAATTAAATAACGGGCCTGTTCTAAAAACACACCCGTAAAAAACCCCCCACTGAAACATAATCAATCTACGCCAGGCCGGCCGCACGGAATAGATGGGCCTTCAGGGCTCAGCGAAAAAGGCGCAGGTCCGCAACTGTACGTAGGTCGGGGGGTAGGTCATTCCAGAGGGCAGGAGCTGCCACAGAGAAGGCTCTCCCCCTGGGGGTCGCCAGCCGGCATTGTCTGGCCGACGGCACTCTAAGGAGGCCCTCTCTGTGGGA